GTCAGTGCGTCATCGAGGACTGTCTAACTTATTTCCATTGGGGTCCTTAATCTTGTCCCCCAGGATGCGACCCACACCAGTCGACTAACACCCAGGTACCTATTTGCTGCTAGGTGAACAGGACAACAGGTGTAAGGAAACGTGTCGAAATGTTTCCACCCGCCGGGAATCGAACCCGGGCCCTCCGTGTGTGAAGCGGGAGCTTTAGCCACCAGGCCACCGGGCCACCCTCTTGGATAACACAGCGACCAAAACACATCTACTAGTGAATAGCCAGAAAGATGGACGGGAGGCTCGAACCATGGTCCCGAGATTGACAGGTCCAGCACTCTACCACTTCAGTTACTGGGCTTTTAGTAGGAAATATTCGGAAACAGTACTTCTGTACATGCTTCCATCAGAGGCACCAACTGTAACCCAAATGAACTCTTCCCTACAGTCCAGTCTGAAGCAGTAAAGCGCTGGACCTGTCAATCTCGGGATCACGGTTCGAGCCTCCCGTCCATCTTTCTGTTTATTCATTGACAGTTGTTTACTAAGACTTAATCTGAGTTCACATTTAGTAGTTATTAAAGTGTGCTCTTAAGAGATACTAACCCATACACAAACACAAAGGATATGCCAACAAGTGCTGGGGGAAATACACACAACCGAGGAGGAGTGAAGAACCTGCTATGTGAACTTGACTCTCAAAGGCAGGGGGACCGGACAACATCTCTCCATGGGTCCTTAGAGAGGGAGCAGACTCGCTGTGTGTACCACTAAGAACAATTTTCAACACATCCATTGAAACTGGGCAACTTACTTGAGACAGGGAAAAGACGGAAAATGTAGTCCCCTTTTTTTTAAGAAAGGAGACAGCCCTAAACTACAGACCAGTGTCACTGACATGTATAGTATGCAAAGTCATGGTGAAGATTATTTAGGACGACAGTGGTGGAACACCTGGAATGGAAAAACTTAAAAACGACAACCAGCACGGAATCAGGGAAGGAAAATCCTATATCACAAACCTTCTGGAGTGTTATGACAAGGTAACAGAAGTAAAACATGAGAGATAGGAAAGGGGCGGTAGATTGCATTTTCTTGGGCAGCAAAAAGGCCATCGACACAGTTCCTCACAAGATATTAATGCAAAAGCTAGATGACAGGTACACATATCAGGAAGGGCACTGCAATAGATCAGAGAATGCCTGACAGGGCGGCAATAACGAGTCATTATGGTCCTTGACGAGGTGTCAGAATGGGTGCCTGTGACGAACGGGGTTCCATAGGGTCAGTCCCAGGACCAGTGCTGTTTTTGGTATATGTGAAAGACAAAGACGGAAGGGATAGACTCAGAAGTGTCCCTGTTTGGGAGATGATGTGAAGTTAATGAGAGGAATTAATCGGAAAGAGGATCAGGCAGGACAACAAAGAGACCTTGGACAGGCTGGAAGACGGTCCCGCAACTGGCTCCTCGAATTTTAAACCCTGCCAATGCAAAATAATTGAAGATAGGGAAGGGCAAAGAAGATCCAGGCAGCATAGGTTAAGTGGCCAAGACTGCAATCCTCACTCAAGGAAAAGGATCTCGAGGTGAATTAATACCGAGCTCCCTCTCCTGAGGGCACGTCAACCAAAAACTGCTGCAGATATGGGCGCCTGGCAAACTGAGAATAGCATTCCGAACCCCAGTAAGGAAACCCTTCAAGACTCGCTATACCATTTACGTCAGGCCCACACTAGAGTATGCAGCACCGGTTTGGAAACACAACCTGGTCAAGCACATCAAAAATTAGAGAAAAATGCACAGGTTAGCAACAAGATTAGTTCCAGAGCTAAGGGAAATGTCATATGAAGAAAGATTAAGGGGAAATTGGTCTGACGGACATGGAGGACAGGAGGGTTAGGGGAGACATGATAACGACATACAAAATACTGCGAGAACTGACATGGTGGAACAGAGACAGAAGTTTCCCGAGATGGGACAGAGAAACATGGGGTCACAATTGGAAGCTGAAGATTCAAATGAGTCAAAGGGATGTTAGGAAGTATTTCTTTAGTCATAGAGTTGTCCCGGAAGTGGAATAGTCTGGCAAGTGACGTAGTAGAGGCAGGAACCATACGTAGTTTTACGACGAGGTTTGATAAAGCTCATGGAACAGGGAGAAAAGAGGACCTAGTAGCGATCAGTGAAAGAGCGGAGCCAGGAGCTATGACTCGACCCTTGCAACCACAAATAGGGGAGTACCAACACTCACCCGCGCGCGCACACACACACACACACACACCACACACACACACACACACACATACACACATGCGTGCACACACACACACACACACACACACACACACACACACCCCACACACACACACACACAAAACACACACACACACACACACCCCCACACACACACACACACACACAACACGGAGAATAAATTAAACAGGAGGAGAGTGGTGGAGCACCTGGAACAAACAAGAGTATAAACGCCATCCGCATGGATTTTCTTGG